GAAGATAGAAGTCTGCAGATTTGGGATTTTGCTTTCCGTTAATATGCAGTTTTGGAAATCTTAGTAGGAAATTCTGGAAATTCAAATCCAACTTTCATGTTTGCTTGAGTCCAAGGTACAAATGCGTAAAGTCCCACAAAACAAAATAGTAAGCAAGAAAAAATAGTTAAAATTTTGGGCACTTTTTATTCATATGCAGTCCTTGAAACTTACCTCCAAACCTAACGTATGCCCGCGTCTCACACACAGGCACGTGAGATTTTTGACGAGAAATTTCGTAGCTTACGCACCAGACAAAATGACTATTTTTGCATACGCCAAAGTGTAAAGCAGTGAAAATTCTTAACAGCAAACCTCCAGTGGATCGAAACTGCGCAGAACGCACGATCCAAAGGCTTCTAGCCTGGTAAGCGGCGCTATCCATTATCCTCTGTTCGTTGCCAGTGGTATTCCCCATGTAAGCAATTAATCCTGTCCGGCCACAAAAACCCATGTGTTAATAGTTGACAAGAGCAACCACTCGTTGGCAAAGCTGTTGACGGCCTTCTCATTAAGGGTTATTTAGAAGCAAGCTGATGATGGGTTTAACTCTCTGGCATGCAACAGTACCAATTTACCATTGAAACGAATGAATGAATCGTAGAGGGACTGGTTATCTTACTGGTTGAGCCGAACTATCGACCTTGTGCATGACGACAGTATTACTTGCAACTGTTTCAGTCTGCCAGTATTAATGTTTATATGTATGTGTATGTCTATGTGGGCACAACAGCTTTTCATTAATATTTATAAAAGTGCGAAATTACGTATAAGTTGCCAGTATTAATATTTATATGTATGTTCATGTTTGTATTTGCACAACACTCTCCCTCCCATCAATCTTCATAAAAACATGAAATCATATATAAGTTAAAAATCGAGACACACAAAAAAAATTACAATTAATAAAAATTACAAAAAAAATTAGTTACAACAAAAATCGAGTCAACCAAAGTTACTAAAATTACAGCACAACAGCCTTTCAGTAATCTTTATAAAAGTGCAAAATTACGTATAAGTTAAAAACGAAGTCATAAAAGAAATGAAACTTCTAAAATCCCTAGAAATTAATTACAAAACTCGAAAAGAGTCTTAATTTATAGAATGAGAGGAAGTTAATTTAGAGAATTGAGGGAAATGAGTCAAAAAAACGT